AGACTGACCTTGGTTCTTTCTTTCTCTGATCCCGTTTCAACTGCAGATAACTACATGTCTCAGGGATCATCTGCTCGGAGCTCTTCCATGCCGTTCTCCACACCAAGAAGCGTTGTCAGTTTTCCTTCTGCTCCCACAATGTCCTGTGATGCATGATCCTAGGAACTCGGAAAGTCTGGTGGTTCCCTTTGCACAGGCTGTTTGTAACATGAGTGACCGATCTTTACGAGTCCTGAGTAAGTTTGATTCCTTTCATGTTACTTTATTTGAACTCTCAATAGAGTCACTGTCTGAGGTAGAAGTTGTAGCAAATTTTGAATAGACTTCAAAATATACAAATACTTGAGTACATGATATGTGAATTATTGGAAAGATAAGCCTAAAGCAATTCTAATCATTACAGTTATACCGTGCAAGGCATGTAGAATTCTTAGACTTGGACATGGCCTTGACATCAGAGTTTAGTAACCATAGAGGATGCAGTCACGATAAATCCACTTTGAAACTTTTTGCTCGTGCTGTTTTAAAACTTTAGACATTTTAACCAGAGGGGATGAAAAAGAAATGTTAAGTTTTGTATTCTTGTTTATTTTATTCACTACAATAGGATGTCTTTTTACAATTTTAAGCAAGTGTTCAAGGTCCAAAACTTGAAAGGAACAAAGGATATGTACAGTGAAATATAAGCCACCTAGTTCCCCTCTCAGAAAGCAATTACTGAATATAGTTTCCTGTGTACACTTTGAAAGATATTATACATAAAATCATATAGAAATGCATTCTTTAGTGGCAGCATACCATTCGCATGCTTTGGCAACTTGCTTTTCCCCATTTAACAGTATATTATGGAGAGCATTCTGCTGTTGGATCTGTAGAGCTGCCTTATTCTATGTAATGTCTGAATAGATTGTATTGGGTGGAGATACTATGAATACTTGTTTTTAAATTTTTGCTATCATAACAGTGCTAACAAGCATTTCTTTGTACATTTGTAAATGTACACAGTCAGGGAAAATTCCAGAAGGCAAAATTACTAGGTCTAACTGTACATGCATTTTAAATTTTGAGAGATTTTGCCAAATGACCTTCCACAGAAGTCTGGGCCACCAGGTAGCCCAACTTCAAGTGGCCGCCATCCACACTGTATCTAAGTAAAATACACCCCTGGAGTTGGGCAAAGTCGCCGCCAGGACAGATGATGTATGTTTACCCTTCACAGCAGCCAATGAATTCATTTTTCTACAGTGTTATCAAACTTTTGGTCTTTCCCATTCTGAAAAAAATACTCTCTTAATTTAATTTTCTCATTAAGAATGAAGTTGTGCTGGTTTTCTTCTTTGTTTGTTTTATTAATCCTTACCTGAGGATATTTTTCCATTGACTTTTAGACATAATGGAAGGGAGGGTGAGAGACAGAAAGAGAGAAACATCAATGTAATAGAGACACATCGATTGGTTGCCTCCCGCAAGCGCCCCAACTGGGACTGGAGATCGAGTCTGCAACAGAAATATGTGCCCTTGACCGGAATCGAGCCCAGGACCCTTCAGTCTTCAGGCAGACGCTCTATCCACTGAGCCAAACAGGCTAGGGCAGTGGTTCTCAACCTTTCTAATGCTGCGTCCCTTTAATACAGTTCCTCATGTTGTGGTGACCCCAACCATAAAATTATTTTCATTGTTACTTCATCACTGTAATTTTGCTAATG